AAAATCAAAACCTATGAATTTAGGAGTCTGTAAGCTTTACTATTTTTCATTTCTTTTTAAAATTATTTTCTTATTTTTTCCTGTAGGAAGTTCTGCTCCCAGTAAGGAATCACCAAATAGTGCCAATGATTTAGGTATTATTTTGGTTATTAATTACACTCCATTATGAGAACTTAGAGTTCTACATGGAAATACTATATTTCAATTATCTGTAGTGAGAGGAGAAACAACATGTCATGGAATAATTGACATTTGTATTTATTTTAATAGTGCAGATACCATGACAAATGTAAGCAGTAATATGGAGACACATGTAGATAATACAGTTTTTAAGAGGTCCCTCAAATTGAATTCCTAGTAGGGTGAGGTAACTTTCTCAACTTGCTGTGTTTATTTGTAGGTTAAAACATATAAAACCTAACTTGCTTTCCATGTGATGGTATTATTTTGTAATGGCACTTTGTAAATAAATTTCCTTTCTATTCAAACCTTGTGTACACAAGCCTTAATGTACTCTAAGTTGGGCTATTTTTTCCTAAAACAGGCTGTGCATCACACTTTCTGTAGGCTCACATAGTTCACACGATACATGTTAAAGGAAAGGGTCAAGTATAGTTGTGACAGTTAAATGAAATATCAGGAGTTTTGTTGACTAAATGAAGAAAAATGTGTATTCCTTTTCTTTTTGTTAGAGTAGTTTAGTAAGGTTAGTCTTTTTATAAAATGCACCTTAGGCCTGTTATGGTTTCCCTCTGAACACTGTGGTCAAACTGTCACTGTACCAGTAAATCCAAAGCCATTTAACTCATTAAACACTTGATAATTTTTTATGAGGTAAAAAGAGCTGAGATAAACATGACATTGGTTATTTTGACCTATACAAATTTAATAAAAATAATGGCAGTTTGGAATCAGAGGTACTACTGAGCAACGTTTCTAAGATTTAAGATTTTGTAGTATTATTTCTTGCTCTCTGGACAGCCCAAAATGCATGTTTAAGTTTCTATGCATAATTTGTCCATATGCCCTGGTGTTTCATTTGCCTTTTTAGAATGTTCTAGGTAATTGAGATTGTCTTAATTTGGGGGTGGGGGTGGGGGTGCATAAGGAAGGATAGATAAGAGAACTCATTATTTGTCTAGACTGCAAGATAGGTATGTCTATTCAATTGAAAGAACTTCATTAAAGACATTCCACAGATGCACTTTTGGGGAACAACTGAAATGAAATTCCTAACAAAATCATAAGAACGAGAGACTGAGTACTGAACTAAACCAGCTCTCATGGGACAGTATGTCTTAAAATAATTCTCCTCTAATCTAGTAAATTCTAATTTTTATCATAACCTCTCCTAATTTTTATATTAACTCCTATTTTTATAACCTGGCGGGGTTACTACAGCACAGAATAATAAGTGAGGTTGTTATTAAAAATTTCACAAGTTAGTACCTAAGCCTGAAATCCAATTAGAAGGGTTCTGTGATCAAAATGCGCTGGACTCACTAGCAGTCACACTAAACTGGATTGATAAACTGTTTCTTTGCTGTAGTTTATAGATGATCTGATCAGAATTAAAATGTAATTGCCACCTGGAGACCCACGTGTGCTCAGTTATCTTCGAACTGGTTTTATTTTTTTCTCAGATGGAAGTCTTATTGCTGTGGTTGTTCTTATTGTACGTGAGTGTACCAAACTTGGATACCACTTAAATCAAAATATTAATGTGAATGAAGGCACTTTTAAGTGATTTTTCTAGTTTCTACAGTTTTTATAGCTTGAAATTAAGTAAACCAGTCTAGAAACACCTGACCTTTTATATGATATTCTACCCTGTGTTCGTGATTGTATATTCTTTTGTACTCTATATGTCCACTTAGTAACAAACCCTAAATATCCCCAATATGCTTTGAGTAATATTCTAAATTAAGCAAGGACTGTTTGGCTTACTGTGGACTCTTTAAGTGATTCCATGGAATTGCATTTAGAGAGTGAAGAGTCCAGATGGAATATGAATGTACATATGCTTAAATAAAATAATATTGCTGCCTACTGAAATGTTACCAATAGTAATTTCTTGTGCTAGATTTTGAACCTTGGTAATAGTTTTCAGAGTTACATGTAATTTGTTTTCTGCTTTTTTATAGTTCTTGGCGTTGCAATAGTTGACACCTGTGTGTACAAATGTCTTCACATCAGGAAGAGAGAATAAATAAAATAAACATGGTGCTTGAACGTATTGGTGCTCCTCACTCTCTACATATTTTGTGCAGCTTTTGTTTGCACTCTGTATTGCATGCTGCCTTGTTTTAAAAAATGTGCTTTTTGTGAGTGTGCTGTCAGACTTGCATTTCCTTACTAAAAATATTTTCACGAACTTTTAATATCATTGTAACCAGACTAATCTGCAGATTTGTTTTAGCTGTTATGAATGTAAGAAAAATTTCTGTGTGGTATAAGGTTTAAGTTCTGCAGAAAATCATGGATCATTATAGGGCCTTCCCTATCCTAGATGCACCCTGTTTCCTACAGTGGATTGGTAGCCAGGACTAAATTTAAGATAGTTCACTGTGGAGACTTTGACAATTCTGTTCACTGTGATTTTTAGGATGAAAGTTTCCATCTGTCTGTATAATTTAAATAGTTGTAAGAAGTTATGCACATGTCTTATTCAAATACCCAATCTGCTTGCCTTTCATTAGAGTTGTTATTTATACATATTAAGCTGGGGAATTAAAAGCAACATCATCTGACTCTTTTCTTATATTGTCTTAATTTACTAGGTAGCAGTAAATCTCTAGGGTTAAACTATAGTTGCTGAGAGGGGTAAATTACCAAGGCACCTCATCAACTTAATCTGCCTTTTTATCTATAAAAATGGAAAAGGGGGGAATTATATCTTCTAAGGACAATGTGGTTTATATGTAAACATCACATTTAAATTTTACTGAAATGATTTACAATGTAATGAAAGTTTTAGAATAAATCCTTGAGCATAGACCAAGATTAAAATATTTGATTTTTAGTGATTTGTTTTCCCCTGTCATTTTGGAGAGAGAAAGTTTTGAAATCAAACTAATATTTTAAGATCTTTTGTATTTGTGGTTTCATAATATGTTTTCCTTTTATTTTAATTACTGGGTTTGGGCTATGTACTAAGAGTACATCCTTCACTCATAAAGAGCTCAAACTTTTTTTATATTGGTTATCTTTTTAAAAATATCCACAGTGCCTTCATTTGAACCTTAAATCATATTGTAGAACTCATGATGTGCATATTTGATTTCTCTATTTGTAGTATAATTTTTAAATGACATACACAGCCCGGCCAGCGGCCGGGCGTCGACCTTGAAGCAGGCGGTGGTGGCTCGGTGCCCATCAGGGCACATTCCAGGCTCTGGGCTCCATCCCTAGTCGGGGGCCTGCGGAGGCGGCCGATAGATGATGCTTCTCTCATCGAAGTTTCTGTCTCTTTATACCCTCTCCCTTCCTCTGTCTAAAAAGCAATCAAAATATATTTTTTTAAAGATAAAATAAAGTCACAAATACACAGCAGTCTGAGTAGGAAATGCTCTCAGTGGAATATTTTTACAATTCCAAATGGTTCACGTAGAAATAGTTTCTAAAGAAAGCAAAAATACCTTTGTTTCTTCACTTTCTTTCTTTAAAACATCGCCACATCAAAATACTTAAAGGTTCTTAAACAAGTCTGAATCAAACACTCTAGCTGTCACTTAGTGGGTCTTTTAAAAGTGAAGAGGTGTCTTCCCTTGTAGCCCTGGAATAAAGGTTCAGTCCCTCCGCTGACCTGAGGCTCCATGTGACCACGATGCTGGGCCCAGGCTGCACTGTGAGGGGCCAGGGTGGAGACGATTATTGATTGATGTGCCTATATTCTTGAAATTTCAATAAACAAACACCACGTTTATGGGCAAATTTTTCTCCTGTTTTAGATCATTAGATTTTCAAAAAATATGTTTTTATTGATTTTAGAAAGAGGAAGAGAAAGGATAGAGAGAGAAACATGGATGAGAGAGAAACATCATCTATCGGCTGCCTCCTGCACGCCCCCTACTGGGCATCGAGCCCACAACCTGGGCATGTGCCCTGACTGGGAATGGAACCAGCCATCTCTTGGTTCATGGGTTGATGCTCAACCACTGAGCCACACAGGCCAGGCTAGCTATTTGGATTTTTTTAAAGACTCCTCCTCATCTTATGTATATGCTCTAGAAAGGATGTGGGGTAACACTTCGCTTTACCTGCTTTCTTTTAGGGAAAGTAAAGATTTTTATTACATTCTTTGCACTGTTTGATGTCTATAATCTCCCTTCCAAAAAAAAATTGGCTGCCATTGCCTTAGAAACTAATTTACGAGACTAAAATGTATGCAGGTACTTCTCTATTTCTAGGGGTAACTCTGGAAGCAGGGTACCAGGCACAGATAATCAAACGTTGCTGTTAAAACTCGGTACCAAATGTATTGATGTAAACTTGTACTTATGAAGATTTAGAATACAATTACCCTTCTATAATCTTCATACTAAAATAGAAAAATAGCACAAGTGCTCATTTTTAAAATTATTAAACATATTTAAGTTACTTGATTAAAAATGGCCATAAGGTAAGAGATATATATTCCACCACTTATAATGTGGGGAGCTACTTACTCTAAGTTACAATCAAGAGTTTGGGAGTAGATTCAAGAAAGGCCAATGGAAAGGGTCAATTTCTTGATAAAAGGAAAGTGGTGTCTTTGTTCCCCGGGCCAAGGGGAAGACAAACATTCCTACTAGAAGGGCAGCCAGGGCCTCCCAGCCCCCTCTCTCGGTCTCTTAGGATTGCTTGAGGCTAAAACCAATTAGTTTTCAGATTGTTGTGGGCNTTCTTGGTCTCTTAGGATTGCTTGAGGCTAAAACCAATTAGTTTTCAGATTGTTGTGGGCTTCAAGGTGTCTGAAATGCTCAGTTAACTTAATGTTGAAGTTAATATAAAATAACTATAAGTAGAAATTCAAGTTTAGATTTTCATTGCCTGCAAATACCTTCGCTATTTTATCAAATAAATGTTTCTTTAAATTTATATTAATGCTTATTTATCTCTCTTTATATATTGGATTTCTATTTTTAAATGTATTTGAATAAATTGATTCTACTACTGCAGAAAATAAAATGAGTTGATTTTGAAACAGAAAACTAAAGCTGTGTTGGGAAATTCAGCAACAGGCCTAAGCATTGCCTCACTACCCACAATAGTCCGCAGGAAGTTGCTCTGTCATGTCCGGTAACAGTGGTGGCTCGCGGTGGTGGGCTCCCACCAAGAGAACTACTCAAGTTGCAGATCTAACCTGTAGCTCTGGCACTCACTGGGTAGGAGCCCCTGAAGGGATGGCAGTGCCGAGCATTCTGGAAAGCCGGCTGGGCAAGTTCCGCTTTAGTCCGTATGCTGTGATCAGTTCGCCCAGACAGGAACTACAGCTGCATTTTCCAACTTAATAGTTAGTTATTGGTAGTTAATAGTTCCAATTTAATAGTTAATAATCCTACTGAGGACTTCAAAATGGCTAGTCCAATATAAGATATGCTGTAAGTGTAAAATACACACTAGATTTCAGAGTTAGTATGAAAAATGTGGTTAGCATAACAAACTTTGGTTGAAAATACCTGTTAGGCTTTAAGAAAATAAAGAGTATGGCAGTCCTTACTTCTAAGCCAGTGCTATATTCTTGAAAATAAATATGTGAAAATAAGTGATTATAACTTCAACTCTATATTTAACTCAGAATTCCAGTTTATTCAAACTCATCCTCCTAATGCCCCTCGCCAGAGATTGCAAAGGGAAGGAACGCTTTCCAGAGTAAAACAGTATTTACTCTGGTTCACTCTGATCTTCCAAACGTCCTTCTCAGGGCAACATTTCTTCAGCCCAGTTTGTGCTACTAAAAATAAAAGTGTAAAAACCCCAAACCTTTAAGAATAAATGAGAGCGGCAGCCCCTCCTGTGCCCGCTTGCTCATTTGGAAGAGGCCCTGCCAGCTGCAGGGACTCCGAGCGGGAGGGACCTGCTCCACCTGAGCATGCAATGCTCCCTGAGCTGATTTTTCCTCCCTTCACGGGGCCACCCACCCACACAAAGTTAAGCTGCCTTTTCTGAAATACGCGGCTTAACGGTTACCCTGCCTTTTAGCAGGTGAGGGGAGACCCCCGCAGACTAATTCTGATACCACTTGGGGCTACCTGATGAATTGACTCCCTACAGAACCGCCTACCGTCAGGTGACTTGTTTGAGTGAGAGCTTTCTGTTCCAGCAGGGAGGGAACCCCCCAGGCCAGAGTTCACAGTGGATTCTGTCTCCCAGAGAGGGGAATTCTCCCGAAGAAAACTACAAGCCACAGTGTTCACTCTGCACCGAGCCGGCGCTGTTAGGCGTGTTAGCGCCTTCTAACCTTTTACAGAAGTATGCAACCCACTCCAAATTGCCATGGACTCTTAGACACTAACTTGACGGCTTCTCTAAATCACCAAGAAGTTACAAGTAATTTTTTAAAATGGAATTTTACCCTATTTACTGTATGACTATGTTTCAATAATATTTTAGTTAAGGAATCAAATTTGTGTAGATTCCCAATTTTCAATGTTCTTCTTTTAGTTTGATGGCTGAAGTACTATACACATATGCGTAAAAATTTTTTACAGTAAACAATATTTAAAACACATTTTAGAGTTGTTGAAAGAATTAACCTTAAGAGTTGGCATTCATCTTTGAACAAAAAAGATTTCAAAATCACTTTCTGTACAAATAAAATGTACTTTCATTTTGTACTACATTTCTTTAAATTGGGAAATTTTGCTTAAAAATCACTTACCCACCTTAATATTACCAGTAATATTGTGTTGACTTGCCCTATAACTGCAAATGTTATTTAAAGAAAAACAGGCAAGATGTTCACACCCAAACTCATACTCATTTCAAAGAAGGATCATAGGATGGTGACTACATTCAAGCAACATTGAAATGGTAGCATTATGTCTTTACACTTGCATTCATGATAGTAAACTAGAGATTACCTTTGTGAATTTTTCTTCTAATTTTTATTGAGATATGATTGCTACATATCATTGTATAAATTTAATATATACAGCCTAATGATTTGATAATGTGTATATTGTGAAATAACTACCACAATAAATTTAATTAACATTCATCACTTCACATAGTAACAAAAAATATTTTTTCTTCCCCATGATCAGAATTTTTAAGATCTGTTCTCTTAGCAACTTGCCAATATACAATACAGTATTACTAAATATAGTCACCATGCTGTACATCACATTCCAGTACTTGCTTAATTTATAACTTTTGACCACCTCCATCCAATTTCCCCAACCCCCTAATCTGTGGCCCTGGCAACTACAAATCTGATTTCTTTTTCTATGAGTTTGTATTTTAGATTCCTATGTGTGAGGTCAACAGTATTTGTCTTTCTCTGTATGACTTATTTCACTTAACATAATGTCCTCAAGGTCCAGCCCTGTGGCAGGACATGTATAAATAACATTTTCTTTATCTAGTTGTATGTTGATGGATACAGGTTGTAACAGGTCTTAGTTACTGTAAATAATGCTGCAATAACCGGGGCGGTGCTGACATCTCTTCTTCCACATAGTGATTACATTTCCTTTGGATATAGTCCCAGAAATAGAATTGCTGGATCATATGGTAGTTCTATTTTTAATTTTATGAGTAACCTCCATACTTTTTTCCATTTTAACTATACAAATTCGCTGTGGATCTTGACATTGTAACAGATCAGAAGACAAACTGATCCACTGGATTGTGGAAACCAGAGTGTCTGCTGTGCTGGGGAGGTTGGTTTACTCTAAGTGCTGTATCCAGCAGTAGCCTCTGGTTCCCTACGAGGCAAGGGAAAGAGGTAGCATCGGAGATAAATGTAGTTAAGTACAGAAATTCAGTTCCAGAAGCCCGTTTAGAAAATGGACAATTAAAAAAAAATCTATTGAGTCCCTGAACTAAAAATAAATAATTCTTTTAAGGTAATTTCAGCTGTTAGTCTTAACAGTAGAAAGACAACCCAATTTAAAAATGGATAAAGGACTTAGATATTTCTTCAAAAAAGATATACAAATGGCCAATAAACACATGAAAAGATGCTAAACATAACTATTCATCTGGGAGATGCAAATCAAACTCACTTCACACCTCCTAGGATGGCTTTAATAATTTTTTAAAAAACAGGAAAAAGTGTTGGTGAGCATGTAGAGAAATTTGAACTCTTGTACATTGCTGGTGGGAATGTAAAATTGTGCGGCCTCTGCAGAAGTGGTAAGATACCTACACTATAAACTATTTCGCAGTAATCAAAAAGATTACTAATTAATTAGGTCCTATATTCAGTCTCCAGGATGGATGTGAAATTAATTC